ATATGCCCATAAAGCAGAAGCAGAGATACTCTATTTTCGTTATGGAGTTGATATTGGCATTCCAGCCATCAATTTAGGGGGAAGATGCAAGCAGTAATGTCACAATAATGCAGCTGTGTTTTCATCTTTTGTTATGCCCACAGCAGTCTGAATGAGCCAACAGTACCAGACACAGAATGAACACCTTACAGATTATACACACACACACACACACACACACACACACACATACACACACACACACACCTCAAAGAGCTGGGCACCATTAGAAGAGGTAAGTTCACAAGGCCTGCATGAGTGAGCCACCTGCCCAAATGATTACATCTTCAGAAAGCTGAAGTCTTTCAGAAGAGGAGAAGGATTCCAGAAGTTTGGGAATTCAGAGAGGGGAGCAAGTACATAAAAGCAGAGGTTTCCAGTTTGGGGTCTCTTCTAGTTCTAGTATTCTATGATTCTATACCCTATAGAGAAAACTGACTTAAGGTACGAAACTCCAGCTATGTGAACAACTTAGCTGGAATCAATGTACCTTAAGTTAAATTATTGCACGGTCTACACAAGTGGGGATCGATGGAGGAAATTCTCCTGCTGACTTTCCTTACTCATCTTATCCAGGGTAGGGTAACGGAGTCAACTGGAGAGCAATCTGCAGTCCATTTAGCAGGTCTTCACTAGATCCACTAAATGGACCACTGGTGAATCGATCTCAAAACATCAATACCTGCAATAGTGTAGATGTACCCTTAATTCCACTCACTTTGTTCTCCCTTGCCCTAAGTGCACCCATCATCCCACTCCTCCCAAGACCTACTCCTCTTCTTGAGCAGGACATTGCTGACTTGTAAGTCTTCTGATGCCTCTAACTGACCCTCTGTTCTGATATTCTTTGGGGGCAGTGGAAAGCAGAATACCAGTCAACAGTGCTACATGAACTACCCTGACTGCAAGGATATTAAATTATCTGACTGACAGTGAGCTGTTGTTCAGTCCAAAACTAGTAAAAGCTACCCCCTCATTTTTAAATGCGTTTGTCTTTTCAGTTTTGTTTGTCTCCTTCCTGCTTCAAGGGCAAACCTTTACAGAGGTACAGATGATGTTTTGCAATTAAATTTTATGGAGCGCAATGATACAGATTTGCTCATTTAAGGAAAATGTCTTGAGCTCTCCTTAAACACACATTTACAGCTGCCCAGAACAGAGAGCATGTCTTCTCTAACACAGCTCAAATGTGGTGCTGCACTTCACAGGTAGCTAACCTGACACTGTCACAACTAAAACATGTACAGATGCCTTCAATGACTATTACTTGAGTTTCATTTCAGACTATATCAGACCTTCTCAAAGTAAGGCATACAATTAAGGAGACATGGCATATTTTCCCTAATCAGCATGAGTTTAAATAGCATTTTTTTCCCCCAGCATTTCTACCCCATTCATTTCTGATGGGTTTCTTTTACAGCTTTACTCCTGGAGTTAATGCTAATTAAATGTTTAGGAGACTGAATTTCCTTTCATCTGCTGGAGAATTAACTTTCCTTAGCACTTCATCATTGGCTAATTACATTTTGAAAAGTTTTATATTGTTACAATTTGCACTAAAAGATTGTGGTGCTCATACATGCCCTTGCGGCTTCATTGCTGTAAATGGGGTTGCATGGGGTGTAACTGAGGGAAAAACTTGGCCTTGTGAGTTAAATTACTGGAAAGTAATTTTTAAGAATAGTGTAAGATCAACACTATGTCTTCCTGATAGTATGCATCATCAGGAATAGATATCATGTAATAACTGCAGTAAAGAATAGTGTAAGATCAACACTACGTCTACCTGATAGTATGCATCAACAGGAATAGATATCATGTAATAACTGCAGTTAGGAGAAACAACTGCTTAAAATTCCTCACTATACATTACCTTACTTCAGCGGGAAGTCAGCTGATTGATTTGGAATGCACTGGGTAGCTCCCTAATAAATGAGATGATAATAATGTGCATTTCCATAGTATAAAAAAGAGGAAGCTGCCAGGAAGGTATTTTCCATTAAATGCCTCAACTTTGAAACCTAGTTCCCTCTTCATCTAAAATAGTCAGAATCGGTTGACCTTCATGACTAGGTTTTGGGTGAGATTAATTTTTTTTTATGATTGTATTTAATGTATGGCAAAGGGGCCTAAAGCCCATGACAAGAACCTAAAACCTTAAAAATAATTTAAAAGCCTTCCATTCAAAGATCTAAACACTTAATAAATATTAATTAAGCTCTGTAATGCCCCTCTGAGGTCCATATTTAAAAGGAGCAAACTGAGGTACAGAAATGTCAAGTGACTTAATGTCATGCAGTTGTTCAGCATCAGTAATGGGGACAGAGCCAAAGAGACTTCGCTTTCAGGTCTGTTTTAAGTACTGAATTACATTGAGTAAGACTGTCTATCCATTCCACAGAGCAGAGGTCACACAGTAAGCAGCGCCATCTACTGCTAATTACACACTGCCTGAAGAGAGTTCCTCACAAGTCAAGAGTGTTTTGAATAATGCATGTGTTCTAGTTGCCAGATCCTAATTGTCATAGCTCCATTTACCAGCTGAGTCTCTTTTGTTTGGGCAAATGAAATAATTATGTTTGTTCAGAAAGGACCTAGCCAAAGGGGGGCCTGACCCTGGTGGGACCTTTTGATGTCACTATGTATACAGAACAACAATAATGTTCAACTTTCCTCATGCAAACAATCCTCCTGATGTCAGTGAGACTGCTTACAAAGTTAATCGCATGTGGAATTTTTTGGAGGATCAAGGCCTAAGAATTGCTTTCTCAAACAGGGATGTTTTGACCACTAACCTGCTTTGATTCTACAGCTCTCTCACATTTTCAAAATTTTGCTGTCCAGTTAAAATTTTCATTGCAGTTTTGAATTTTCATAAAAAAGGAAGACCCTTTTAATGATTACACTTTGGGACTACTCATGCTTTAAAGCTAAGCATATGCATAAGTGTGTGCAGGATCAGTGGGGGGGAAATGAAAAAAACAGACATTGTTAGTGAACTTTTGTAGTCTCCTTCACTTCAGAAGGAGGGAGAAAAGCCAAGAGAATTCACCATAGCATTGAGGAATGAAAAGGGGTTAGGGGATTCTCTCTTTCTGTAATTTCATTATTTTCTTGTTATTTTTTCCTCTTTTTTATCTAGCCTAGTATTTAAAATATAAGCACCTAGACTGTCCACGCAAGTTATATGCAGGAGTTTAAATTGATAATCAGGTGTTCATAGAGACAGATGCATGAACAACAGAACACCTAGACTGGCCACGGAAGTTATATGCAGGGGTTTAAATTGATAATCAGGAGCTCATAGAGACAGATGCATGAACAACAGAGGGATTTCCAAGGTCATTTCCCATTTTTAATGGGCTACATATTTTCCATGTGAAAACTACCTGTTCATACACATGGGCGCACTCACCCCTTCATCATGAGTTGTTGAAAATGTGTTGAGTAAAGTGAAATGGAGTTACCTCACATTAAATAGTATGCTTTAGACTTTGTAATGCTGCAGGGATTTTTTTGAGATATAATTTAGATATAAATTAGATTTAGCCAATTTCTGTATGTGTGTAGGATTGCTTGTAAGACATTTATATGAACTATTAAGAATTGTAGGTTAGATATGAAATCACGTATATAAAAGTGTAATTAGCACTGTATGTTGCTTATAAGCAATTACCATAATGTACGCTTGTTGCATTTCTTCCACTATTTCTTTATTGTCTGGTTATGCTAATACATAATACATTTCAAATAAATCTAATTTTTCTTCATATTTCTTCATTAAGTTGAGCCAAACATAGAAGGGAGATATTAGTTTGCTGACCACCACTACCACCAAGTGGTTTACTTGCATAAGCTTAAAGTAGTACAAACGTACTTCCTCTTACACAAATACTGGGCTGATTCTTACCAGGTGGGACAATTAAAATCAAATATTACCTAAGGCTGTGACATGCAGCACAGTTCATGAAGATGTTACTCTTCAGTCACATGACTGTACTAAAATACAGCAAAATGTGAAACATTTAGATAAGAGAGGAACATTAGCCTTATAAGGCTGAGAAAAAATGGATTTTTTCATCATCTCAAATATGTTATTTAAATTCAGGGGGTTTTTAAGTGTTATTTTTCTTTAATATATAATTTTGGAAGATTATTAAGTAAATCAAGATATACAATTCAAATCTGTTGTTACACAAATCTGTATTAAAATTAATTAGACTCAAATATGTATTGAGACTTTTCACTAAATATAAATTTTGTGCAAACATTTGGTTATGAAACATGAAAACAAGAGAAATGTTTACATTTTTTAAAACTGAAATTGAAACAAACAAATATTTTTCAATAATATTTGCAACCCAAACATTGCACCTCCGAATGTGTGATTAAGTATAAAGAAAAACAGAAGTATCCTGCGACTTTCACTGTTTATCAGGGAAAGGCAGAATATGACTAAATATAAACACTGAGAAGACTATGAGCTTCCAAAAAGTCTTTCATTTGTAATAGATTATGTGCTGATAGTGGTACAGTACGGAATTATGCACTTAAATAATGACTTTAAATTGAATGATAATTATCTGTATCAGTTCCCCTTATCTGGTGTTGCATCAACACTGACCTATACAAAATGGTTAACCCTTTGCTTACTGATTTCTGAAAGTAGGATGTGTTTCCTGGGCAGAACTCTTAACAACGCTCCAATCACAACAAAGAATCTTGAAGAATCATCCTATTAAGTGTGTTCCTGGTCTGATTCTGTACATATGTAGGAGCTGGACCACAGAAGGCCTGCTAGTGATAGGGAGTAAATGGGGGGAAGGAGGACAGATGCCATGCAGCATCTCACATCAGCTTCCAGAAAGGGACAACAAGGACTGTTTAGGTTCCACTTCTAAAACCTATCTTCTACTACACAAATGGATGGAAGGAGACAGGGGCACAATGTGAGGCTGCCTTGAGACTACCTTATACGCACTGGATAAATAATTACAGCCCTGTGCGGATATAAAATTTTGTATCTGTATCCGGAAAAATGAGGAACAGATATCTGCACCCACATCCATGGATTAAAGACCACTCCTGACCATTCCACAAGAAACTGGGATAAATTTTGGCAAGGCCCCATGCTATTGACGGTAGTCATGCAGTATCTAAGATCCTTCCCAAAGATGTAAGATTCCGGCAGGCTGTCTTAGAGGGGAGGGAAGAGAGTACTAAAGAGAGAACATAATAAGCACACCAACCCTAGAGTAGGAGTGCTGAAATGATTCAGCAGCCTACATCAAAAGGCTCTGAGGCCTGTGTTGAAAGTGTTATAAAAAATATTTGGCTTGCACTGTACCCAATCTTCCAGGGTATTAAAGAACCAACCTTTTCACCACCCCACACCGTCAACAGAAATAAATTAGAAACATACTATGGGTTAATTATTTCTCAATTTCAACTTCTGAGCTCACATTCAATTATACAGTTGCAAACACATATACTGTACTTGAAATTTGTCAATGACTGTATAACAATAACAACACTAAATGGGGAAAATAACCAGAGTTCTAAAAACAACCCTGAGAAAAATCATGTCATCCAGTCTATGTTCACACAGTATATGGTGAGTTTAGCCTGAACTAAATGGTCAAATTTAGAGCTGATATAAATGTTGGTGTAAGCTCAACTTCAGCAAATGAGTGCTTGTGGGTATAACTTACACACACATGGTGAAGGAGGGGCAGGATTGGGGGAAGAAAACAACGAGCAGCAGAGTTTGAGAAGGTGCAGTACTTTCTCCTGTTTGTTTTTAAAATCTGCCTAAACAAGAACGTTAATCACACAAGTACTTACCCCTCCAGATGCACTGAAGCCATCTGCTCCTGGCATAGATTCTACAGAACTTGTGCTTACTATCTGAAGGAAAAGAAAACAACAAAGAACATTTCAATATGTAAATTACACTTAAATTATTTTAATTATTAAAATAAAAAAACATGAAATAATGTACTTGCAACCCCTTATTTGTTCTGGCTATGAATATGTGTTAATTGCATGTGTATTCAACTACTCTGGAATATTCAGCTGGCAATAAAGTGGGTGACTTTGCAGATGGCAATGAATTACAGAGGCCTGTTTCCACATTCGGAAACATGCATGTATGCTATAAACACCTAAGACAGAACACCTCAAACAGAAAAGAAGTTTTGGGTTACAAAAAGGGGCAGATTTTCAAATTTCACTGCTACATTGATTCTTGTAACACAAACCAATAGCAAAGCAGTTTGTGCAGTCATCAGAGTTCTAAGATGGGAGTGTAACTCTTTGGTACAGATTTCACCCATTTAAGTGTTTATATAACTGATTCCTTTAAAGACATTCCAGGAAAAATGTGAGCATATGTACATGGTTAATTTAATTAAGCTAAAAATTTCAAGTAAAAAACACTCTGGACATAATACTCCAGTCTGTAACAAAGGAGATTTAGGTTAGATAGTAGGTGACAAAAGACAAACACAAAGCAAAAAACCTAACCATAAGGATAGTGAAACTGTGGAATCGGCTTCCAAGGGAGGCTCTGGAATCCCTATCACTGAAGGTTTAAGAACAGAGTAGACAAATACCCGCCAAGGATCATCTAGGGCAAGGGTAGGCAATATGCAGCCCATGGGCCGGAAATAGCTCACCCAGGTTAGCAACTGGTGGCTGTCAAATGCTTTACACCTGCAAGTCTGCAGGCATAGGCACCCGCAGCTCCTGTTGGCCATAGATCACCATTCCCAGCCAATGGGAACTGAGGGAAGTGGTGATCCAGTCTGCACTACTTCCCGCAGCCCCTCCCCCCCCGGCCAAAAAAAGGGCAATTTGCGGGCACTGGGAGCTGAGAGAGGCTACACCTGCAGATCTGGCCCACCGGCCACTTATTGCTGACCCCTGGTCTAGATATACCTACTACTTCTTCAGGATGGATAGATTGACTTGAGACGACCTATTGGCATCGCTTTCTAGCCCTACTTTTCTATAAACACAAGCCTGATGCTGAGAGATTCAGAGTACCCATATCTGTCGCTACCATAGTGGAAAATGCTCTGCATCTCAGAAGATTAGGCCCTATTTATCATTAAGTCCCTATTATACCCATATGCCATTCATATCACCGACTTCAACATATATAATAGAATGCATGGCTCTACTGATCGTGGATCACAGCTATAGGTCCAGAGTAGGGATGTTAAATAGCAGTTAGGAAGCTAATCGAGTAGTTGATGGAATTTTCATCGACTACTCAATTAGTTGACAAGGGGGGGTCTGCTGTGCCTCTGCTTTTTAAATATAGTTAGAGCCACCAAGGGGGGGATCTGCTGTGCCTCTGCTTTTTAAATATAGTTAGAGCCACCATGCTCTCACTGCATTTAAAAAGCAGAGCTACAGCGGTCTGGGACTGGGTGCAAGCTGAGACAGCTAAGTCCCAGCTCCCACCTGGTTCCAGACACTGCGCCTGACGGCTCTTACCACATTTAAAAATCAGAGGCGCAGTGTCTGGGACCCAGTGCGAGCTAGGACTCCTCAGTCCTGGCTCGCACTGTTTCCCCCATTGCACCTCTGCCTCCCCTGCCCCCTTGGCAGAGTTGGTGCTGGGAGGAACCGGCTCCTGCACGCCCACCTTGCTGTTTCTGATACAGAGGTTCAATTCTCTCTGTGGGGCATTACAGGTTCAGTTCCCTCCGTAGGCAATACACTAGCACTGAAAGAGCTGCTAAATTTGAAGTCTAGTTGTAACCCTTTTTATGCTAACACAACTGAACAACTGCTGAGAACAAACATTGTAAGGCAAATAGCAGCCAACAGAGTATCCATGTGTTTTAGATCAATGTAAACCTAGAATGGTAGATTTGCATTACTCCAGAAGAAGCTGAAAGAGGGATTATACCTACTTAGGAGGATGCAACATATGCTGACCTCTCCATACACAACCAGCTACATTGTATTCTGCAGAGAGGGGCAACACTACTGTCTTTGAAGACAACACACTCACTTAGTACTGTAAGAAGTGAAAGCAGAAAAAAAGCGTATTATAGGAACTCTATCAAATCGGCTAAGAAGCAACACTGGTGAGTCCCAAGGGAAGGAGGATGAAGCCTGTGACACAAGGCCTCGAGAGAGTATGTATAGCAGGGAGAGGGGATAAAGGTGGGAGGGATGTGAGCTTTGACAGAGATGTGGTGAATGCCATCCAGGTGGGGAAAATCCTGTGGGGGAGGTAGATACAGGATCCATGCAGTTTCCAGTACAATGTCATTTGGCAGCTGATATGTGCTGGTCACATAGGTTCCCCATCAGTATTTTAACTGCAACTTACAACATTCTATCTAGATGTCTCCATTCCAACACACCTCTCCCATGTTCTCTGGTGAGAAGGACGCTATGAAAAAAATGTTACCTTCCCAGAAATAAATATTTGTATCATCCTTCCTACTGGAAAATGTACATGTGCTCCTGCCAATTTGGAGTCCCTAGTTATGTCCCTTAAGTTAAAATGCTACATTCAACATTTGTAAAATCTGTCCTATGAGGATGATCATTTTTCATCCGTCTACATGACTCCACCAGAGAATCATTATGTTAACATGATCCAGAAGGGCTTAACTAATTGCAGGACAGGACTAATGCTGGAATTCAGCTTCTGGACCCTGGGAGTTCCCTGCTTGTACTGAAATTAGCTTCTCAGTATAACAGGAAGCAAGGCTCTTCCTTAGCTTACTTCAACCATTGCATTCTTCCCACCCCTTGAGGGTCACTAGGCTTTTATGAATCTATAGGGAAAAGTCATTTTGTTTGGGAATGCATTTATATTATTTAACAAGAAGAGACATTTATGTAGCCTTGCAGATGGGGACTGAAACCGGCCCCTCACCCCACTACCACCATGTATGTTCTCTTATCAAAAGAAGATTCTGCAAAGGAATCTCAAGTAACTCCTTTGAAACACTGATGTTGCTCTTATATTGGGACTGGAGAGGAGAAATAACTGGTCAATAACCAGGCTGAATCTTCACTCACTCAGCAAATCTTTTCTAAAGTGTGAATTCAGGGGAGGTGACAGGATCTCATGACTGCCAATTCAGCACAAATAGTGGCTGCCCAGATCCTAGTGTGGGGAATCTCAACATACTTTAGATCTTCCCCTGAGCTTGCTGGATTCAAAACTCATTTTACCCTGACAGATAAGCAAACGAGCTACTCCAATGTACTGCACTGAACAATGGATCACAACAGAAGTCACACCACTTGGGAGCCGATATAAATATAAATTATAGCCAGTCAGAATGTAGCCATTCTTATCATATGAAGTGAGGATAATATTTCATCTATTTTTCACTCTAATGCATTCTGATCTGTCTAATATCTCATGATGATGGCAAACTTACTTAATATACCTACACTGGGATGAAATTGCTGTTCTGAGATTGCTCTCGGCATTTATCCAGTTTTATGAATTTATAGTATCAATTTCAGCTCTTTTTAACTGATAACAATTTATTGGGCATTCAGCTTGACATCAAAGTTGATCATCTGATCTTCCAAAAATACTGGTGAGCGAGCTGGTATGGAGGAAATTAATGGGCATATTGCATTCACCTCTCAGGTGAGAAATGAATCACATTTCTTTCCTGTTTGTCTTTTTAAGAACTGCTAGTGTATGAGCACGTGGCTACCTCGTGTTCAAAATTTCAAAGTAAACTGGAGTTTAAGAAACAGATATAATTATGAAGAAAACAATTATTCTTAAGTGGACATGTAAAGTCGGCTGGTTAATTTGGCCATTAACAAGAAGATGCTCTATCTGAACTCTTGTGATTTGAAGGCAGCACTGTGGAACCTAAATGTTAGCTTACGGAGTTCAGGTTTCCCTCCCTTTCCTCCCCCCCCAATTTTTTCTGAGTTTAAATGGTACACTACTAAATGATTAATAATTTGGAGCTACTTTGTGTCTCTCGACTGGTGCGTGAAAAGAACTCTCTCCTCCCTGTTCAGCATGGAAGGGAGGGCACATCCATTCCCACTGCACCACTGATTCACCTCTGGGACTTGTGGAGACCTCTCTATGTGGTTCAGGGGCCATGCTGGGATCAGAGGTCTACATTACATTCCTCAGGCCCTGGGGAAGTTACTTCCCAGAAGTAACGCTGCTGCATGGAACTGTGCTGCTTCTTCTGCAGAATGTCCCTCAGGGGCACCCAGGCAGCCTATGAAAGGTGAGTCCCTGAAAAAGGAGGCTGCAGTGGATCGGCACTTCAAGGAAATTGGGTGGGACAGACTTGGACTTCCTGCTCTGAGATCTGCCTGTCCCGAGGGCAGGCCCCATGACCCCAAGTGTCAGTTCTGCTTGCAATACTCATGAACATTTTCCATTTCAGAGGCTCTTTCTATTTTTTTTAACTGACCCAGGCCTTGGTCTTTATCATCGTCCATTTCAAGTGACTGCCTGCAACCAATTCTCAGAATGACCACCCCCCTTATGGGAAAGTCCTACAGAATTTAAAAGGGAATAACCCTTATAAAAATAAAGACAGACACTGTTCTTAAAATGTGCAGCATTTGAGAGGGGTGATTTTATAGATATTTCTGAACAATCATAGAAAATTCTATGGCTAGGATCTACATAACATTTTTATTAATGTTTTTAAGATGGTGTCATTAAGAACTGCTACAAAAGTTATTTTTCTGTTAAATTCTGTATTACTTCTTTGTATACAGCTTGGAAGAAACTCCCAATAAAATGTCTCGCTCCAAAAAAGGGAATGTGCAAAACCACCCAGCTGCACAAACTTCATTCCAAACAGCCAACCACTCAGAATATTGAAGAATTACACCTGTTATGCCAAATGAGCTACTAGTCTGGAAAACGTGACTGATAGGTCCCTGCATTGAATTACCCTGGGTAATTTTATTTTGTTCTTGCATGGCTGGATAACCATGACTGATATAAATTTGAGGGTCAGAAAAATGGGTGTGAACTGCATAACAATGTAATATAGAACTATAATGTTTAAAAAAGTTAAATATATAGGAGTTCGGGGCAAAGTTGGCGAAAATACTGACAAAAATGAAGACAGGTAGAATTATCATTTATACTTACTGAAGAATCTGGAAGATGCTCATCTTCTTGAGAAAAAGAACTATTGAAAGCTCTAAATGTTTCACTGTTCTGTTTGTGTTTTTCAATTGTTGCTTCAATGACCTAAAAAAATGCCAGGGAAAGACAAAAGCATGGCTCACAAATGGTGTCCTGGAAATCTTCTGGTTTAGGAAAACTAGCAGAATCTTTGCTAACTAAACTAGCTGTCACAATCCTTTGTTTTTACAAGATTTTTAGTCTTCTATCAGTCTTCCACTTGCAAGGTACATACTAACTAATCTCAGAAACCAGGGTCTTCTCTTGTGGCTGGTGGAGCTGACTTCTCCTAACTGTATTTAGGGATTGCTGTCCTCATTTTAGAGATAACAAATGGTCTGTTAGCACTTTACAGACTAACAAAACCTGCAGATGGGATCATGAAGAAGTGGGCTATGTCCAATAAAGCTCATGATCCCATCTACACATTTTGTTAGTCTATAAAGTGCTAACAGACCATTTCTTGTTTTTTAAGTTTATCCTGTACAGACTAATTTGGCTACCCCCTGAAGCTCATTTTAGAGATCAGAGACTGTGGCAGAGAGACAAAGTGGGATCACACAAAGCCAGACAGCAAAGTCAGTGGCAAAGCCAGGATCAGAATGCAGGACTTCCTTCACCATACTAAGCCCTCCAGGTCACTCTGCCTTATTTCTTACATGCAACTTCCATTTGTTCATAAACCAAATGTGATAATGTAAACTAAATCGCGTTCATGGGGCTATCTGAAGTATAGCAACGTTTTTATATTAACCTGAATCCATTCTCTCTTCTCCTCTTCTGTCCTATAAAAATAAAAGACAAGACATATTTGCTGTATAAATTTAGTATTTTACAAAATTAGTATTTTCAGTATGTCAGAATATTGATATTCTCATGGTTTTGCTTCCAGCAACAATTTTAACTTTTACACCAGCTATCTTATGAACATTCATAACGCCAGTCTTAAATAATAATTTCCAAACGGCATGACATGGTGCTGGAATTTGATCTACCAGCCCATTATAAGTTGTTTGTTTAATAATGAATGCAAATCAATGTTGCACTTTAATATACTATGACTGAACAGCAAAATATTACCTGTAGTGTAATTAATCATGCTTGTTATTGATTTTGTGGTCTAAAAGTAGGCCATTCTAGCATAGATCTGTCCCTAGCTCAGAAATAAAGCATGCCTTCACCCAGAGGATGGAAGGCAGAAGAAAAACCATACCTAGCTTGGAGTTCCAAGGATCTCTTTTTTCCTGTTATCGAAAATGTATGAGATACATTTTGCTTGACAATTTCCTGGACCTGGAAAAAGCAGTTGATAGTTTATATTCTTCATTATAACTATTCCCAAACACCACATTCAACCCTCTAAATATCTAAGCTGGGGTGACTACCAAAAGTAATAAGGCAGAAAGCTTCAAATGACTGAGGAATTCTTTTCCTTCTTATTACATATTGTTTGTATTGAGGGAGTGCCTGGAGGAGCCCCAATCATGGAACCAGACTCCAACGTCTGAGGTGTTATACAAATGCAGGGCAAGATCTGATTTCATCCCCCAAAAAGTTTACATTCTAAGTTGGGTGTGTGAGGTGTTATACAAATACAGGGCAAGATCTGATCTCATCCCCCAAAAAGTTTACATTCTAAGTTGGGTGCGGTCAAGATTTTGCCAATTCCTTGCTCCTTCCCATCATCCCACACCCATTTATGCAGGAGGGGCAGGAGCAGCTATGGGCATTACTTGCTTCATGGTGCTCAAAGTTCCACATGATCGGGTTTTGTCTACACCACCCGCTGGACTGATGGGCAGCGATCGATCCAGCGGGCTTTGATTTATTCCATCTGGTATAGATGCAATAAATCTACTGCTGAGTGCTCTCCCACTGACTTCGGTACTCCACCAGAACATGAAGCACAGACAAAGTCAACAGCAGAGCATCAGCCACACCACAGTAAGTAGATCCACGTACATTGACTTCAGCTGCATTATTCAAATAGCTGAAGTTGCATAACTTAGATTGATGGCCCCTGGCTGTGTAGACTAGGCCTAAGTAAGAGCTTACAATTTAGACATTTGTAATGAGCTACTATATCTTCTCTCAGGTTTGAATGGCAATATGGTAAAGGAGTGATATCCTGTATTTTACAATAATGTACAGGATGCCCCGTTCCCACTTAATACTAGCCATGGTTATTGGCAAGTCTATGGTATGTATGTTTTCTCACACTCTGAACTTTTGACCACACGATGAAATATATCAATAGGTTAGCACAGAAAATATGCAGTACAATATTTGTATTTATGAGGTAACAGAGGAAATAAATCTGAATGTTAAATTCTGTCATACTTCTGCCAAGAGTGTAGGAAAATAGTGTACCAGCTCACAGATGGCTGAGCTAATCCACAGACACCAGCATTTACTGGTATATCTTTTGAGGATACTAAATTAGTTTTGATTCCCTGGCAACATAGCCCTTACGTCTTGAAGTTTGAGTTCACTTCCAAACCAAACCCCAAGTTGAAGAGTGCAAAAGCTGACTGCTCTGACACCATCAACTTAATCAGAGTGACACTGTCACTGAAATCCTAGCTCCCCAGGGTGACCGAATTAGCTAATGGACTGGCACAGGCAGATAATTCTGTGAGGAAGTCTAGCTGCCTTACAGTCAGAAGTCTTCAAAACTTCCAGCCATGACTGGCATCAGGCACAATGCCAATGCACCACTGCCCTTTGGACTAGAGAGATGAACTGTGATTAAGCGCAAAAAGTAGTTACCAACCTGCAAGCCTGCAATGTCCATCTTTTCTCGAACACTGAACTTCTGGCCTATCAGTCTCAATTTTGGCACACAGTATAACACCATGCTGTTAAACTGCAATGAAGAAAAGGTATATAACTAGATAATCTATAAAAGAAAGGATCCACATTTTGATTGCAAAGTGTCATGACTCGGGGCTCTGATTCTCATAATAAAATGCTGCTAACACCCAGTAAAGCCTGTTTTTACACTGGATGCTTCAGAGCAGTGGTTGGCGAGCTGTGGCCCATGGACCCCCTGGCTACCCCCTCCCCCATGTGCCTCTCACACACAGGGGAACTGGAGCCCCAAACTTCCTGTTCCTCCCCCTCCCTCTCAGCACTTTCACAGCACCATGAATCCGCTGATTCGTGCTCTGTTTCTGCTCTTCCCCATCCCTCCCAGAGCTGGAACAGATGTGAACAGCTGATTTGCAGCGTTCCAGCTCTGGGAGGGAAGGCGAGGTGCAGGGACAGGGACAGAGCACAAATCAGCAGATTCATGTGCTCCAACGAAGGAGGAGCAGGTAAGTGCAGGGTTCCGGTGCCCCAGTTTGCAAGAGGCACATGGAGGAGGAGGGGCTGCTGTGGCCCACTGAGGTGAAGGAGGGCCACTCATGCAGCCCACCCACTATTTGTGGTTGCCTATCCCTGCTTTAGAGAGTTAGTCACACATCAACTGAAGAAAGAAAATTCTAAGGAGATACCCATAGTGGAGAAGGGCACGTGGGGAAGGGCTGGCCTTTGCGTTTTGGACCGTGATCAGAGAGAGGGAAGGAGAGAATGTTTCACAGCAATAACACTGAATACATGAGTGTGACAAATCAGCAAGAAACTCACCAGAAACAAGTACCTATCCTGAGCTGTGCCGTTCTTAGCGGACAGTTTCTGGATTTGGCCTTCTTTAATGAGTTCATTGGCTGGGTTAACAATATCCTCTTCGCCCCCAAGTCGCTCATACACTTCTAACAGCTTGTGCATCTTTTCCTGTAAGTGCAGAAGGTAATGTCTATCTAAGCAGCAATTTTTTAAAGAAATTATTTTACTTGTCTGTTACTCAAAATATTTGTGTTGGTACTATCCAAATGAGAATGGAAACAAATACAGTATGGAGGAGGATGAAAAGATCTGCCTTCAAAAATAGACTGCTGTTCCATACCCTTCAATGGTTTCACTTCTCTACTTTGTTTATTTCATCTCACTCTTTGCTAGAAATATAACAACTGCATATTCCAGTTATTTGAAAATATCTGGATGTTTTTGGATCTTTCCTATACAATATTAAATACATATCAGGGAAAGCAACAATGTGAATCCAGTATAGTCAATAATGAGTGAACCAGTAGCATGCTGTGAGCAGCTGGAGTTCCTGCCTTGCTCCTACTTTCAAATCATCTTTATACAAAAGGATTTCAAAACCTGGTTACAAAGGGAGACAGCTGAACTGGAAATGATTTGCAATTTCAATACTATCAATTTAGGATTGAATAAGGATCTCAATTAGTTAACGCATGACAAAGACAATTTCCTCTGTCTGGATAATCACATCTCCACACAAAATGCTGTGAATATCCACTGCCATCCTCACTTGATCAGCTTCATTAATACAAGCAATGTCTTCCTTAGA